CTTTTTATTTCTTTTCTAAATATAAATACATCATAATATAAATATAAATATACTTTCAGTTCCTTAATTAAGCTTAACCTGCATGGGTAATCACTGATTGGCTTTCCGTCCTGAAATTCCACGTGATATCAAAAACTGCAATTAATTTTAGTCTCTATACGAAATGGCTTGATGTATGAGAACCAATCATAGAATTTGTGGCAGTACCCCTTGTATCGGCCTAGCTAGGGAGTTGTCCGGTTAAATTTGAAGATTGATATGCGACAAATCTAAACCCGTCCACTAACAGATCCAGACAGCAAAGATTTGCAGCTGGTTCTCCCTCTCTTGAACTAACCAATTGCAGATCTGGTTTAAGTAATCTTTAAAAAATGACTTCAGAGTCTATAAGGCAAATTTAAGCGCAGATTAACATGAACCACGATACATCAAGTGGCATCGTAGAGGGGTCATCACAAATCACTGATGATGGCCAAACCAACCATGATATGCATACAAAATAAAGGGAAAGCAAGCTAAATATAATACACAGTATAGTGGATAAATCAAATGGAGAATAAAAAAAAATGTCTTGCAATTCTGTGCCACCTTGATTTTGTTTTATTTGGGTCATTCATTTATTCATTTATTTTTTTTTTTTGCCTTTTTTTTTCATATATTTTTTTTGTCTTTGCAGTACAGTATGACAGCCTTACTGTGATGCTCTTTTTGTTGTTGTTGTTTTTTGTTTTTTTCGTTGTTGTCATTTTAGTATTTTAAACGAATTAGATAAGTCTTAGATCATGTGTTTACCAGCCACATTTGCTTTTGATACCTGCACGGCTTTGCTTGTTTGTTGCACATTATATTTCTCTGGGTTTAGCAGTGAAAAGGCAAATTTTTAGTATCTTACAAATTACTGATATTGAACAGTACTTTGCATTTGTTTTCATGCACGCAACTGAAACCAGCATACTTCTTAAGATTAATAAAACCTCAATTGAGTTAATTTAGTTATACTTGTTTAGAGATCTTTTGCCCTTTGAATTAAACACTCTTTTTCCTGTTAATGTTTTCCTAGCTAATGTGCAATATTTCTTTCTCTGACTATTTTTGGGAAAAAGCAACCAACCAAGACCAACCTCTTTTAAGAAGATTGCCGGGATCACGACATGATCTTTGTGTAAAAGTAGGTACGAAAATTAGACTTCAGAAATCCATATCACTTGACTTATACCAGCAAAAGCGAAGAAAGAAAATCGTAAAGCGAAAATAAAGCGCAAAATAAACATCTTCGAGATATGAGTCAAAGATTAGTGATGGTAGATGCGTTTAAACTGACGCCCAGTCTAACTTTATTGATCCTTTTTAAACACCAACAACCAACATTTTGGAAAGTTTCATTTTTTAAAAAAATCAACTTTGAATTAATGCTTTCTGTGATCAGATTAAACTCTGTTTGGCACACATCTCTACCTGTGTGCAAAGCAAAGGAGTCCTGAAAAACGAGAAATATCTCTTGTTACCATAGCAACGGATAGATCTTGATTGGCTAATATCAAATCCTGAGAGGAGTCACGTATTTGACGAAGTCCGTTCAATAGTGAACGTGAATGATAGCGCAGAGACAATATCCACACATTATCTGTACCGATATAACGATATACCTGTCATAAAAAGACAGTGAAGCAAAGTCTTTTTTTTCATTTGAGAGAATCTTAGAGCGAGGCATTATTACCACCAAAGTTTTGCAGCTTATCTTGCCAGGGAGAAGCAATGAAGACGTGTTCATGCCTTGTTACTCTTTCCCTTGCTCTAGCTTTTGTGAACGCTTTCACCACTGAAGAACATGTCAAGAGATTCTTCCGTCCAGAACACAAGAGCATTATTGCCTGAAACGACAAGCTTAGAATTCCGAGACGAACCAGCTCTCTTAACATCTTCCCAGAATGACGAGTCGACAAAGTGCTTGGCTCATTGTGAGCCATCTTGTGAGAAGCTGGATATACCGGCATATTTAAGGGTAAGCAATCAGAAACAATGGTCATATTTTATGGCAATTCGCGAAACAAACTGCTCCTTAGGTTATTTCAATAGATTTACAGAGTCTTTTAGGCTGCAAAATACAACCCAGACTGCCGTATGAAAAACATCCATATCTTGTAGTTTTTTTTCGCTTGTAAATTTTAATTTTGGAGTAAAAAGATGAATGATTCGAAGGACTGACCTTGCTTTTCTTGTCTAAATATAGTTGGAGGGAAGTTTTCACAAATTTGAGGACACGCCAATCAACTGCGTTTTGGGATCGACAGTGGTGTTCAAGAAGACTCCCAGATATCGATGCAAGTTCCTGGCGCTCTATCAGTTCGACTGTTGTCGAGCCTGCAATGCTGTCTCTGCTAAATGCATGAAATCTGTTGGAAGTTATAGCGGTGGTCCCGAGTTCTGCTATCGTAACGCTTACAAGTGCATGTGTAAATGCTTGGAGAAGCATACCCCTTTAGAGAATTATTACCCCTGAACTTTTTTCTAACGGCTGTTCGTGCGTGGCGTCCACTTGTTCATTTATTTGTATTTGTATTCGAGCGTCAATAGCAAAAATATTGCAACCTTTCAAATGTAAGGTATAGGAAGAAATTACTCGCTTTTAAACACTCAGTTTATCGCTTTTCTCGTTACATTATATTGTTATGTTTGAGTTTTATAATCATTTTTTATTACTTCTTACCATTAGAATTTGCTTACAGGCTTAATTGTAATGACAAAAGAAGTCAGGAAAATAAAAATCACAAAATAAAATATTTCAACATTGTGTTTTATTCTGTATAATAGTAAATATAAGCTAATTATATATTTTTGAAAGTTTAAAAAGAGATTGACTACTGTGCCTATTAACTTGTGCATTTCAGGGCTGAAGGGCATTTAAAAATAATACCTCAAAGATGAAAGAAAGTGAACACTGCGACCAATTCTTACAATTGTTAGTTGTTATTCTTACAATTCTTACAATTGTTACCAATTGTGTTGCAAATTCCGATGGATAGTTAAGAGGATATCAATGGATGAACTGCATCTCTAGCGTAATTGTTACTGTCGTAATGGTATATGGATTCAAAAAGATGTCGCACCCCTTTTATTTTTTTGGTATGCAAATGTGCGATTAACATTTTTGCCCTATAGTAAGGGCCTGTTTACATGGAACTGGGGAACCCCAGGTAGGTGAGGTAACCCGCTTAGGTGGGGTAAAACAATAACCCTCCTTAACATGCAATCTTACAACCCCGCCATCCCGGGATGCACTTTCTCAAGATCATATTCAATGGTCGCTAAGCACGTAAACAAAGAAAAATGCTGGCAAAACACAAGTGTTTTGGCGATTAATGCTCTTCTACACTCACTTACTACTCTTACTGCAACCTTCCGTGCTGTGGTTTTCTATCGTTACCTTTAATAATGATAAAAGTCACCGCCCAAGTCAATTTTGCGCGAGTTTGATGTATCACTACTCCGACCCCGGCTAGGTGGTGTAGGATTAGCCCTTAAACCTCCTACTTAGTAACCGCGCTCGACATATATATATCCTGATATGATTGTTCAATAGTTCAGTTGACCTTAGGCCTTGCTCATGTAATCTCCTTTAACAATTAAATTGTATAACCTTGAATATATACTTGGCCTCCACTCTTCGTACTGTTTCGCCTCCGATAATCGCACAGGTGGGGGTTACCCCACCTTGAGACCCCAGCTGTGAGGGTCACCCGGTCTGGCAGACCGAAACTACCAGCCGACCTACCAGCCGCCCTACCCACGTGATCAAATTAAAATGAGAGATTAAATATGGACAGGCGGGTTACTTCACCTACCTGAGTTCCCCCATCTCCATGTAAACAGGCCATTACTCCTCCGTCTTTTATAAATTTGCGACATATTTGCAAGGAGTTTTTTTTTCCTCCAGCGGAATAAAAAAAAACTGAATATCATATAAAAGCCAGCGACCTTTTAGCTTAAGCAGGTAAATATAATCTATAAATCCCCTGGCCCTTTGATGGCCCTTGCATTGAGAGGTAAACGCGATAAACTAGGAAAAGGTCCTTGGGGTAGCTATGGAAAGAGTGATATCTGGACAAGGAAAAGAATACTAGGGCGGGGGTACGTTTTCATGAGTTTAAAAAAAAGGGAAGCATTGAGCTTACGGAAAATGGATAACCGTTTTGGTTGTCAGTCTTCTACTTTACACTAACTTTTAAAACCCTAAAGCTGGTAAACTGTTTGACGCCATCAGGCTGAAAGAGGAAGGGTATTCAGATAAAATTACAGCTGTAGGTGATATTGTTTTCCTGCATTTGCATTTAGTTGCAGTTACAAAACCCTCGCCGAAAACGCAATACACAGGTAAAACCTATAACCAAAACTACTTGATTTAATGTATGGATCCGCTTTACATTACAGTGATAAATATTGTTCATGCTCTATTATATGGATTCTCTAAAGAACAATTGATAATATTTCAGTACATCCACCTGACTGGACTTTTCGATAACAATACAATGACTGCAACCTTTCAGCGGAGTCTGAAATTTCAAGAATGTCCGCGCAAAGCCGGGAAAAGGTCAAACTTATCGATACATCTTACTGATAAATATTGAATTAATAGTCATTTTTCCGCAGCCCTAATATAGATCCTCTGATAATCTATTGATAAAAGCACTTAACTTTAACTTGACATACCACTCTTGAGTTAAGAGGCTGCACTTCCTGTTCCGACCTGGGACTACTTCTGTTGGCAAATACAATTAAGCACTTAGACATGATCACCAAAAAAAAAAAGCAAAAGGAACTGAAATGTTATAATTTTGCGTGGAATTTCAGTAGTGACGTATTTTGACGAAATGTAAGTAGAATTATGACTTGAGTGAAAATACTAGCTTTTGCTGATTTTCGCGTGTAAAACACGATCAAGTTGTAATTAAACCATGCAAGCGTTGCATTTTAGCCCTAAAGCCGACATAAAGTGAACACTTAAAACGCTACCAAATAAAATGGTCCAATTAAAATTCCAAGTATACGTGACTACGGCCTTAGAAGTAGCAATCTTTTCTAACTAGCAAATCACAAACAAAATGATAAGCATTTCATATTTTTCTTTTGTGATATAAGAGCTCTTTATACAAGCAAACACATTCAGTTCACGGCAATCTGGTGGCTTGGCACGTTGAAGCTAGCTATCTGCATCATTAACATTCATAGCTAAGATTAGGATTATGATGAAGTCATTTCTGATTATTTGTTTTCTAGTCCTTCCAACGGCCTTTCTCCAAACTCAAGGATATCTAACAGAGGATGCAGTTGACTGGTATAAGGCAAAAACAAACTTGGATGATGATCTTGGCTTGTGAGAAGATGAACCCAAGGAAATGATGGTGGACGCCCTGCTGGCACAAGAACAAGAAGATGACTATAGCAACTGCAGTTGTAAAGAAGAGTGTACTCAATTACACGTGAGCAGGCTCCCTCTTGTTGTTCGGGTAAGCATTCAAGGCCAAGATTTCCCTTAAGTTTTTAACAGCTTATAAACTTGACTTGACATACAGCATTGCAGAATGATGTACTGCTTAGACAGCACTATCTCGGAAAAACAGTTTCAACCTACCGGAGTGCATGCTTAAGGCACATAGAGCTTTATCCTTATTCTTAGTTTTTCCTTCTTTTTGCAATTGATGTCAGTTTTGCCTAGATCACAGTAACGCTCACCTGTTTATATTGCTTTTATTGTAAACTTTTTTCTTACGCTTATCAAACGAGCTAGGAACCGCGACCACCAGTTTGAATGACGATGCAATTTCCCATTGCCGGTTTTTATCCCCCTGTAGGAAAAAACTTAAGAAATGGTTTTATCTCTCTGTTCATTGTATTTAATGGATTACAAGCAATTAAATGCAATCTTCTTTTAGTAAAAAATGGCAACACATGTCGTAAATAAAAAATTGCATGTAATAATAGAATTTCTACGCCAAAATGTAGATGTATACGAAACTCTTGTACGACTAAGAGGAGCCACTGTGGCTCAATTCTCGTTGGCTGACACCGTCCTCCCGTCGATAGCGACCTTTATTTTTTGGGAGGGTTCGCTGGTAAAAAAATCGACTGTTTAAAATAAATTTAAATGACATTTTCTGATGTAAAATTTACGTTTTTTTCTCTCTTTCTCTCCCTCTTTTTAATTCCAGGAAGAAGACAACTACCTAAGCTACGAAAATTTCCCGGTGTTGTGTCGAGATGCCGCCTCCATTATGCTCCCGGCTTCACCGCCATCCAAAAAGTATGTTTGCAAACAAACTTTTGACTGCTGCCGTGAATGTAACCACGCCTTCTACACGTGCATAAGCATGGCCGGGTACACATACGGTGCGTGCATGCGCGGAGCATACAAATGCATGTGCGACTGCATCGACCAGAAATCGTACTCGGAACTGCCTTACAAGCTTCCAACACTACCCGCTACTACAAAACCCATCGCCACTACAGCCACCGCGAAACCCTGAATATTGGTACTACAACGAGGCTCTATGTGAATGCGACTATTTGAACTTTAATTTTCTGTACGTACATTATAATAATTTCATTGTATTAATTATTTCTTTTGATAATAATAATTCGCTGGCTATAAAAACATGCCGCCCCTATGCGAGAGCTATTCTCCTGAGTGTTGACAGGAACTTTACACTACTTTTATTCTTGATTATTTTTTGTTTAATAATGCATATGAGCCGCTTCTTTGTTATCTTTTGTTTAAATTTTCGTTTAATGTACCACAAGACACTTTTTGACGAAGTGATAGGATTAGGGTACAGAACAACATTTGTCATTTATGTAACACAATTACCTGCAAAATCAATAAACTGGCTGATATATATTTAACTGCATGTTGTTCTGGTCATTATTTAAGTTGTCAACTTGCTTCCTTGCCATTTAAAACACAGGGGCAGAGAAGTTACCTGTGACCTTGGTTGTAGTTAAATTTTACGATTGATAGCTCCAATCGCCTTCTTTTATTTACTGCGGAGCATTGGATAACATTTTACCAGGTTTAATACACGGTCGTATGACGTTTTACTCGATTCTACAGTAAAACAAAGGCGATTCGCGGTATCAATTATAAAATTTAACAACAACCGATAAGGTCACAAATAACTTTTCTTCCTCTGCTTGCTCTGTCCAACTTTAACCGTTTCAGTAGGCTACGCTCCAAAAGTTCGTTTACACACTAACAACGATTCTATTAAAGGATCCAGTCTGAGTTCCTGAGCCTATCTTTATCTCGTTTACATTGTTGTTTAGTATATACTAAAACAGTGGATAGTGTTTTTCGTGCGCTCTGATTAGCTATCAGTGAATGTCCTGCACTATTCACTGATTCACATCCAGTTCCTCCGAGCGAGCGACGCCAAACTCGCGTAAGTTGCGAGCAAAATGCCTTCCCGGTTTGCTGCCGTAACAAACCAAGAAATTTCACAACTAATC